AATTTGATTAAAAAATGAAATATCTAGATGATCCATCATCACCTTTAGTTATTTCTACGATAATTGATATGAATGATTCTGATTATGCTATAACAGCGCAAATAATAAAATCAGATCCTCAAAATGAAATAAGCGATATCATTATCCAATTAAGAGTTAATTTTTACACTCCTATAGATAGACCTATTTTGAAAATTCAATTTTCCAAGGATAAATTTGTCTCACAATATGATCTACCTCTTGAATAAACAGTTAAAACTATTCAACTGCAATCTCCTACAGTATTAAATTAATCTTAAATTAATGTTGCTTAAAGCGCAGCAACTTATAATGAGGCTGTAATCTATTTCTTAACCAGCTTGTCTTTACTTTGTTTAATAGTAGGTTCCTCAGAATTATTTTGGAATTTAATGGATCAATTATAGTATCTATCATATGTTAAATACATAAGTATTTAATTTCCTCCAAATCTTAATATTTATTTTGAAATTTTTAAAATTATCTCTATCGAACCAATTATAGACAATATAGGAATCAATAAGATATTCAATCTTATCTATGAAGAAGAATTTGACTAAATTCCGAATGATGGAAAATTTTTAAATGATGGAATAAATGTTAATTTCTTGGAAAACTTTAAAAGTTTCTTATTTTGTCTTACTACTGCTTTTATGGCTTACTATTTTTCTAGGATTATATATTTAATCTTATCTAAATTTTAAACCTAATTATTATCTAAAATGAACTTAACATCAACAAAGTTATATTTTTCAATTAGATAATAATGTTTGCTATTGTCAAAGGATTTTTTCTATAATGGTATCTTGAGGGTTGTTATGTCAAATGCGTACGATATATCATTTGCTATGACTGTATAAATTGCTTATTTCTCAAACAATAGTTTTAGGGCATCTATAACTTCATATTTTTCTCTTGTAGTTTTCACTTCATATATATGCACTTCCATTTACTTTGTTAATATTTTGCAAAAATTTTCAACTTCAAATACATTAAAAGTAAAAGAAAAATATGCAGCTTTATTTGAAGGAATTAAAAATCCCAAGAATGCTTGGGTAGCATAATACAATGCAATACTATTAATTAAAAAGTTTTTTTTTATTAATCTCATTGTTTTTCTGTAAAAAGAAGGCAAAATTTAATCCTTGCTTGTTGCCACAAATTAAACTTTATTTCTATTCTATTTTGTCGTAAATAAACCTTTGCATAATTATCGTGAGTACTAAAAAATTATAATTACAGAGTCTATTATTATTTTTAATACAATCACATTTATCCTTTATGACTATATTACTAATATAGGATTGTCTTAAAATATTCGAATTATTATAGGATGGGTACATATATTTACATTTTCAGCAATCCTATCGATATCATTAATCATTGACTTTTTTTAGTAATCCTAATTTTTGCTTAAAAAAATAAGAGAATCTATCTGCGATAAAAAAAAATAGGTAGAACCTGGAGTATCAGCTACAATTTTTATTTGAAAATTTATTTAATAATTTATGAATAACATTTCATTTTTAATATTTATTTTAAAAAAGAAAGCATTTTCCTACAAATACTATGAGAAAAATTAGTATGATACCAACATAGTATTAATTAGTAATTAAATATTTTTAAAAATGATGAGAAAGTCATTAATGGGTTAAAATAATCTAGAACATATTATTCTTTAAAAAAATTAGTTGCATTAATAAAGTGAGAAATACAAAATTTAATATAAAAGGAATAATAATATCCACATAATAATTATATGTATTTATAGATATTTTCAAGTAGATAAAAAATTGAAAAATTTATTTATATAAGCTTAAAATCTTTTTTGTTAATCCTTTTATTTATTAATTTAATGCAAATAATTAAAATCAAAATAAGTAATATAGCAGTAAAGTTAATCAGTATGATATCTTTAATATCTAATTGATCAACTACATAATATTAGTTAATCAATTAGGATCAAGTCTAAAATAAATTCTATTTAACAAAAATTGTAATTTGAGGAATACTAATTCTTCACACTCATTTTATAATTTTAATATCAAAAAATTAAACCAATAGAATAAAATCCTCCAGAATAGATGTTTATAAAATTATATAATTTGAATTATAATAATATTCTATACTCATAAAAAGGATTAATAATAAAAATGAATAAAGCATAATTAAAAGTTCTAAATAGTTGTTTTTTATTGAAACACTAAGGCATTCAAACTTGAAGAATGGATGTGTCTAAATAATAAATGATTTTTGCTAGAAAGATAATGAATGATTTGAAAAATAATACTCAACATAATATTATAGAAAATTTTTATTTTCTGTTTGGGTAGAATTAGAAATTTTATTATTCTCTTAGTTTATCCAACATCAATCATTAGTAGCAAATAATATTTATATTCAAAATGTCTTTAAAGAATAGTTAGATACAAATTACAGTAGAAAATGGCCTTTTATAAATCCTTACTCTTTCGCTTGGCTACTTCGTAGTTTGAAATTCAAGAAAAAAATTCATTGACTATCCTTTTCTTTTTATCTAATCTATTCTTTAATTTGAAAATTTCATTTCATGATTGGAATAAATTATATTTTAGTTATAAAAGCTTTTTTACTGATCCTTGTATTAAAGACAATAATTAAGGAATGAAGAACTTATGAACAGAATGGAAAAATTTTGACCTATCAATATATAAATGAGGTGCCTCAAATGCAATCATCTTTTCTTAAAGAAAATCATAAGATAAATGTTAAAATATAAATACCTTATTATTTCCAACAATCAATTTAGCATCAATAATGATGTATAGTAAATAAAGGAATATTGACAAAACTGAATAGATGATTTAAATAAAACTACTTGGAAATTTTGTGGTGAAAATAAATTGCATAACAACTATTCTACCTATGTAAATTGTGAAATCATATTTTGTATTGCATGCTCACAATGTTAAACCAAAAGTCATTAGTTTTGTTTAGATAAAACACTAAAAATTACATAGACTAAAATATAATTTTTTCGGGCTCTTTTTGGATTAGCATTACAAAAAAAAAGGGAGCATATTATTACAATTGCTTTAATAGTAGATAATACTAAAAGCCAATCTTAATTTGCTTCAAATACTCTCAAAATTGGTTAACCCACTGACAATAGTATAAATAAGGCGCTAAAAAATAGTTGGATGCTTAGTAAAAACTAATTTATATATGAATCTTAATCTATTGCTCAAAGTTGTATCAATAAACTCAGCATTTACTTAAGAATTCATCTCTTGTTTTCATAGAATAAAAAGTTAAATATCTCATTCACTAAATTTTGCTTCTTCATCTATTATGTATATATAATTATTCTAAATTCTTATTAATAGTCACCAAAATATTATGATGTATAATTATTTTAAGTAGTAGATATTAAATTTCATAAAATTTATTAAATTATGAATTTAAAAAAAGAAGAATAGTTGTTCGTTTATTTAACTATGGCTACAAATAAATATATTTGAACAATAATTTGTTATTTTGTTTTGGTTATTTGATCTATTAGTTGTTTTGTGTTTTATGTTAGTAAATATTTAGTAAGCCTGATAATTCATACAGATGGGTCTTTGATTCCTACCTCACTTACATCATAATTTGCTAATTATCTTGAAAATTAATTAAATTAGTATCCTAAGTAGTCAATCACTGGAACACAGAAAAATTAAAGATAAAAGTAAAGTATAAGGATTTACTCTTGCAAGTGATTTCTATTAGTAATTCATTTACAGCTATGAGAGGATTCTCAATTGTATTAAGCATCAAAGCTATTAAATGTGATTGGTTAGAATGGTAGGTTAATATGAATTAAAAACATGTTTAAAATTATAAAAATATTGATTTATCAATTTTATATAGAATAAATATGAATGAATTAATTATTTATATAATTTTTATTTTTATTATATTTAGAAAATATTTTAATTAATATTTCGAATTAAAGTAAAGCTTTATATTAAAAGATCTAATAAACTTATTAAAATCCTAAGTGAATAATAAATATTTTAGTTATCTTAATTAATAAAAAAGCATGAGATATCGAAAAATTGATAAACAGTATTAGAGATTAGCCAATCATCCAATACGATATGAAAGAATAAATGATAATGAAATTAAACTTTAAATTGAAATCTAGTGCACTGAAATAAATTTAAATACTTTCCCTAAGCTAAAAGCTCATCATTAAACTTAATTTCTTGTCTAATAACTCATTAATTATTTCTGGCTATGAAGATAAATCAATAATTATATCCTACTCTCTTGTTTTCTCATTCATCCAATAGATCAAAATTAAATAATCTCTGGCTCTATTGATACTTCTATTAAATTTTGATAAATCCATAGCATTAATTTCAATTTTCTTAAGAAATAAATGAAGATTCTGATTATGTATATGAATTATTAATAAATGAAAAAGACAATCAATTAATTACTTATGGTAGAGATTCCAAAATACTAATGGTAGAATCAGATAAAGAAAATGTCTGGAAAGTTAAATAAAAAATCAATTCTGATGAAACTCTTCTTTCAATAATATGATAATTCTTATCTACTTATTCATTCCTCCAATTCTTAGAGAGAATTTAAAATAATTAAAAAATCTCCAGGTGAAAATGGTAGTTTATGTTGTACTTTTTTATTCCCAATTCAATAGTAATTTCATTAATGTTATGAAATTTAATTCAAATTATAATTTTGGATATTTGATACCAGAAATAACATTAGTTTAGCTCAATCTAGACGGATGGTATTAGCAACTTGGGATAAAATTTAAAATAATAATGAAATAATAATGAAATATTATTTTTATTGAACAGTTCAGCATTTATATGAACTTTTATTTTAATTATAATATAATATAAATTCTAACTACTCTATTTTATCAAATCAAAATAAATATTTTATGAATGCTTATAAAAATGAAAACTAAATTTATTATTTATATAAAATCAATCTTCACAGCCCACAAACATGCCATAAAATACTGCAATTGATGCTGTAACTACTTCATTTGATTATAAATTAAACTAGATGATAAAAATTAAATATTTACTCTTCCTTTTAAAATTTGCTTGAAAGCATTCAAAATACAAATAGGATAGGGTAAGACTACAATAATTAAATAAAAAAAGGGTAAATATAAGATCCCCAGCAGGACAATAATGGCAATCTGCACTAAACAAACATCTACAGATAACTAATATTTATTACAAATCACTCTTATTTTAGTTCTCTCAAAAAAGAGGTAGATCAAAATTATGAAGTTCGTAACAAAATTAAAGCATATCATACATTAGAATACAGTAATAATAAGCACAGCTATAAATAATATGTGACTTTTACATGCCGAATAATTGTGTACTGATATTAATAAAAAAAACACTAACCCAATATAAAATAATGTGTAGCTACAAATTAGACCAAAAAGTATCAGTAAACTGGATTCTGTCTAAAATTCATGTAATAATTATTACTTTTCTATACTTTTAGTTAATCCCTAATTTAATCAAAAATCCAATAGCTATTAAAGAACAAATAGCCAAAATTAAATAGATTGCACTTATTTTTAATTCTTTAAAGACACTCAGCATCAATAGAAAAAAGAGGAAAACAGAAAGAATAGTCCATGAAATAAATATTCCTATAATCTTAAGGAGCAACTGTTTTTATTGTGAAAAGTCTTTATCTTTAATTAAATTAGAAGTAGAAAATATTAACTGATCATTGACTTGTACATTCGAAAATTCTTAATTTGGTGTGACTTAATTAAGAGAGTGTTATTATTAAGATGAATATTATTGATGGTTTTCATTATTTCCATAGGCTGGAATTATTACAGGAATATATTTTAAAGTTTAATCTTTGTTATCAAACAATTATTATGATGGAGCTGGCTGATTTGTGTAATTCGAAGTTGGATAGTATGACATTTATTATAAGATTTAATATCGAAAATTATTTAAAAGGTTGCTTTAATCAGTTATATGCACAATGCAGAAAATAATCTATAAACAGTCTATTTGTAAAATAATATATATTATATTAAATTATTAATTAAAATTAATTCAATATTTATTAAGAATTGAAATATAATTCCTTGCTCATAGTTTATTGAAAAATTAGATCAAATTTTCTCGTTATACTTAAGTAATTAACAATTAATAATTGTGTATTCAATTTTTATTCATGTAAATTTTTAAATTGGAATGTAAAGAAATTATAGTTAATGACTATGCTCTTATTTTTTCATTTGCTAAAATCACTAATTAAATTTTTGAATGTAATCTTATCAATAATCAGATATGAGTACAAGAATAAATGTTTTACACTTAAAAAGAGAAGCAAACATATCGTAACATTATAAACTTAATGTAATCAAAGATTAAATATTTGTATATCTGAAAGAAAAAAAAAGCAAAGAAATTATTCGCCAATTAAAGAATGAGATAGATTTATTTTAAAGGCAAATTAAAGATATAATACTCAATATTTTAAAAATTAAAAAAGAAACATATTCTTGTAACACTAAAATCAAAATGATTTTTAGAGACCTTTATGAAAAGAAGATTTACGTATTAATCAACTTTTGACCCTGGAATGCAAATGAAACTTAATTACTGCTTTGAAAGAATTCTACAACATTTAAAAAAAATCGATATAAAACAATTTATAAAGTTTTATATCTACACATTAAATCATCTGTGTACAACTGTAAAAAAATAAAAAATATTATATTGATTTAATTATATCAACTTTAATTCCTAAAGAAAATAAAAAAACAAATAAAATCATATCATCACTTCTTTTGATTTATTATTATAAACAAATTTTTCCATTAATGATTTATTATTTCAATTTATTTTCTTTTTGAAATTAATTAAATGTTGTTTGTTTAAAATAGAAGAAAATAATTGTTTTAATTTATGTATCATTACCTAATTATTTTTCATTATAAAATCCACCTCCGCTTTTGTGAATCAATTAATTTTGTAATTTCATTTAATCAACAACCTTCACATATAAAAGCAATATCCCATCTACGAATTTTTTTTATAGTTTAATAAACACCATTATAAATTACTTAATCCAAACTATTCAAAATAAACTTAATAAAATACCAAAAAAACAATCGCTTAACTCTATCCAACTTCCAATTTTATTTGAGCATATTTCAATACTTCTAAGTTTCTCTTCATACAATCCGCCATCTCTTTATAACAAAATAAAATTAAATAATGATAATCTATTACCAGTAAAACCCATCCCTCAATTTAATCCATTTTCCAATTTTAGTTGAAACTAAGCCATCGTTTTATTGCTCAAAATCATTTAATCAGCAACCACTTTATAAAAGTATCTGAAAATTTACTACATTAATTAACTAAGTATTCACATCTCCATAATTCTTCTTAAACCAAATTTCCATCTTCCTAATTTCTAACCATTTTTATAAAAGCCTTTATTTGTAACTTAACTCCAGCTAATAATTCAAATTACTAAACTTAACACTCATTAAATCCCTCACTCGATTCAATCCATTTACCTATTTTAATTTATCCTTAACTTTCACTTCCTTTCTTGTAGTCATATAATCCACCACCACTTTAAGAAAAACTTATAATAAAATTAAATACATTAATAAATTCTAGTAATTAAGCATAACCCAACTTTTTGACCATATTTTCTTACACGACTTAGTTTTAACTTAAAAAATAATAACTACCTTTATATTTAAAGAATGAATCTTTCAACTAAAACCCTTACCTATCCTTTTCACCTTAATTGTTAACAGTACCAATACCATAAATTATGTATAAAGCATTAATATACAGTTGCTAACTATTCTCAAACTACTTCCATATATCTACTTTCTTATTATTAATATATTCTCTAACTTCATATGCTTAAAAATTACTAATAATTTCAATAAATAATAATTACTGACCTATAAAAATTCTAAATTAATTCCTTCCATAAACCTGACAATTACCCTTTTTCAGAGTCCAATATATATTTTTTGATTATTTTTATTTCTTCTATAATATCCCTCAAATCTTATAAGTTTTCTTTCTTTCATTAACCATATTTAAATAATCCAATAGCAATAATACAAAAGAAAAAATTTTAATGAAAGGAGAAATTATTTCATAAAAAGCAAAATAGTGATCCTGATCTGCGCACTCATTTAAAATAAATAAACTCTCATATTATCTCTTTTTTAACTTGTATTGTAAGATCATTATTTTAGAGAATTTATTCGATAGATAATTAAAGAGAATTTTAAGAGTGAGTATATCATGAAAAGTGTTAAATTAATTAGTTTTATTAAATAAGAAATTTATACTCTCTATTTCTTTTCAAGGTTTGGTCTATTTATCTCAAATTATAGGAGAAGGGAAACATAGGATTAAGATTATAAATTTCAACAACAAATAAATTTATCAAATATATATCTGAAAATTCAATAATTTATAAATTATTCTTAATCAAATCCTTCGGAAACTAATATTTCCAAAATTTTATTAGCTTAAGCTTAATATAATTAAAATTATGACTTCTTTTTTTTATCCTGAATATCTAGAATATCTAGAAGTATAGATAATTTTTCAACTAACCCATGAGATTTAATGAGATAATCTAAATCTTCAATTTCTGCATAAATTAATGAATTTGATATTAAATAAGCAATTTCTTTTTTAATGTCACCCATTTTCAAACTCTTATAAAATGGATTATTAAAGTGAATCCATTCCAATAACTTATTTAACTTAGGCTGAAGTCGTGCTTCATTTAACAACCCTAATCTATTTAGTCCATTATATGAATTATTAATATCATCTGAAATAATTTAGAAACATATTCATTAAGACATTATAATTCAAGGACTCATTAGCTAAATTTTCAACTGAAGATTTAAGTGCTTGTTTCAATTCGTCAGGTAATGAGTCTGGTATCAATTTGTTTAGATTCACAATTGTTTTCTCTTAAATTGAGCTATTACTTCTTTCTTGATTAGCCATTTTAATTAATTTAGTAAATTGAATTTATTTATTTTGGTAAATTCTGTTTTAACATTTCTTAAAATTACGGAAGATAGATTATAATATAACTTTATCAATTTTAATCTTCATTCTTTAAGTCTAAATGATTATTCAATATCAATATTTATTTATACTTTTAAATTTATATTAAAAGTGTAATCTTTAATATTCGATCAAGCCCTTATTTTTTCAATTAGCCTAAATTATGATATAATGAATAAGTTGAACTATTATTTTCGGAAAACTATTTTATAATTAATTAAAATATATTAATACATATAACTCTAAAGTTCTCTATAAAACTTATCTTTATTTTTGATTTAATACGTATAATATTAATAATGAATTATATATAAGAGAAATGTTTAGAACACTCAGAAGAAATTGTGGGATTTGATATAAATTAAAAAGATCTTTAAATGAGAGGGTAATGTACCAAGTGTTTGGCAAATGAATAAAAAAATAAAGCGATGGATATTCAAGATTAGATCAATCAGATTAAATAAACTAAATAAATACTTAATGAGGAGAGAACAAATTTGTTATAAAGCACTTTAGAAAATATCCATAAATTAAGTGAGAGTGTTGAATAATTGAAGAATTTTTATATCTAATAAATTGAATTGATCATCGTTTCTATTAAAAAGTGGACTTAATCACTCCAGAATATAGAAGATAATTTGATTAATAAGATATAATCAAAGGAATCTAATGATTATTAATCATTTGTCGAATTTATTTAGGATGAATAGGATGCTTAAATTTAAGATTAGATTGACTTTAAAGTAGAGATTCATAACTTGTTCCTCAAATTAACAGAAACAAATTTAATTAAGAAATGTTAATCATTGTTGGAAAATCAATTAACAAAACCTATTTTTTTTGAAAATATTGAAAAGAATGATTATGAAGATATTGAAGTAACAATTTATTAATTTAGGAACTTAATCTATTATGTGAAGATCATAAGAAAGAAATTAGATTTTTTAATCTTTGTAAAGAAAGTATAAGTTAGAAGCTTATTGGATGTTTGGAATGTTCAGATGGTACAATAAATTAATATACTTCCATTCAAACAGCTCATAAAATTTGGAAATAAGTTAAATTAAAAAGATAAGAGAAGATGAATAAAAATGTTGATATGCTTTAAAAAAAGGTTAATTGTCTTAAGGATTATTTATAAATAATCTAGAAAGGATATAATTCTGCAATTGAGAATGCAATAAATAAATTAAATATCATTAATCAAAATTATTCTAATAAAGTTAATACAACAAAAAATTTAATTAATGCATCTTGGAAAACTTTACCTAAAGAAGAAATAATTAAAATTGCATAAGATTTAAGTTAAATCAATTAATAAAGTATTATACAAGATTCATCATTGATTGAATATAATATTTAAGATAATTAAATAAATGAAATTATAAAAGAAACTGTTTTATATTTATAAGAATGGATAGGAAGTTAATTAAATAAAATAAATGGATTCATTAATAATTTCTAAATAGATAATGATGTCAAAAATTAACTTAAAAAATGTGGCAATGAATTAGAAGTTTAAAGTATAATAGACATTATTGATTTGTAATAAAAAAAGTTAATAGTCTTAGAATCTCAATAACAAGAGTTAGAATTATCAATACATCTTACAAAAAGCAAACACCTCAGTATCCAGTTGTAATAATACTCATAAATAATCTAATCTAAAATGAATGAATAAGAATTAAAACCCTTCACTTATAATTTAATTTAGAATAATACAATTAAATAAACTGAATGGTGTTATGCAATAGCATTTAATAACGATAATTCAATTGTAGTAGCTGGTTGTAATAAATAAATAAAAGTATTTGAATTCAGATAAGAATAGTTGAAAGAAACTTAAATTCTAAGTGAACACTCAAATGATGTTTATACTTTGAATTTTATGAAGAAATCAAGTTAATTTTTATCAGGAAGTGCAGATTATTCTATTATATTATGGTAGATGAATGAAAATAATTAATGGATTTGTAAATAGAAATTAAATGAACATACAAGCAGTATTTATTGTTTAATTTTGAACAATAATGAAGATATAATCATATCTGGTAGTTCAGATAAATCCATTAAGTTTTGGATAAAATAAAATGAATGGATTAATTCATAAACTATCACTGATCATACTGATTCTGTATATGGATTAAGTATGAATGATTCACAGAATAAAGTTATTTCTTGTGGATATGATAAGTTGTTATTAATTATAGAATAATTATAAAAGGATTAACAATGGAATATAATCTAAAAAATACAAGTTGAATAGTATGGTCGTAGAATATGTTTTATTAATGATAATTTATTCACATTTTTACCTAATTCTAAAGAATAGATGGATGTTTATGAAATGAATAGTACCAATATATCTTATTCAAAGACAAAAGAAATTATGGTAAAATGTGGATCTGAAGGCAATTGTTTCTTTCCATAATAATATATAAAGTAGAAATGCCTGATTGTGAGTAAGAATGGATTCTATGTTAATTTAATTAGAAAGTAGGAAAATGGAAATTTCATAATTGAATAATCTATTGATTTTGGAACAAATAATTTATATGGATTAATGAGTGATAATGGAGAGTACCTGATAATATGGAATGGCAAAAAGAAGGAGATTCAAATAAGAAAATATTAAGAAAAATGATTATTTATAAATATTATAAACAATAAAAATTTGTTTATTTTTTATAATAAAACAAAGACGATCAAGTAATAAGGCTGCAAAAATCAATAAATGGAACTAATCCAACAAGTGATAAAGATTTTATAAAATATAAAGATATTATAAAAATCTTATTAGATGTTATGATTATTATGCTGTTTAAGATATATTAACTCTTACACTTCTAATAGCAAGTTAATTGCATCTGTTAAATTATAAACAGCTTGTTATTGTTATACTGTCGCAAGTGATTGTACAAGAGGAACTGATGGTGAAAAATGCTTTTGGAATATTGAAACTGCACGTGGAGGTGCTGAGTCGATTTTACCACAGACTATTGTGGTATTGTTATAAGATTAATAATTGCAACTAATACAACATGTTAAGAATGGGGGTATTTATAATTCAAAATAAATACATTATACGAACTGTAGATTGTTAATGAGTATAGTACTTCTAATAGCATTGATATTTCCTGTCAATATATAAATGCATCATTACTTTAAAATTAATAGAATTAGGAGCATCATTTAGTTTTTAAGAAGAATACAATATATTTAAAGATGATTACAAAGCTTTAAACACAATATATTTCAATGTACTTTTGCAAAATTATAAGTTTGCTGCTTAAATTTTATAATTCAAAAATTAGTTAAAAACGAATCAAAGATTAGAAATTTCTTGGACATTACAACCTAAAGATCCTTCTATTATTTCAATGCTAATACTTTGAAATATCAATGAAGGAATTCTTTTTATTTTCATATTTTTAGAAATTAAGTTTTTCATATACAAATCAAATACCAAAATATCGAATTGGCATCCATCATTAGGAAAGTTAAAACAATCGTTTATTATTGCAATCCCACCTAAATATGAATTTGGTTTAGAAATAGTATAAAATCTATTTTAATATAATTATCCTCTAGAATTATAAGGATTATAGTAGAATATTTCAAGAAACCTATGAATTACATTAATTAACTTACTATGTTTAAATGTTATGCAACTAAATTGGTCCTCATGGAAACCTTTATCTGTGAATTAAAATCTAAAAGCCAAAAGTTCCGATAAAACAGATTTTATTTTTAAATAAATTCAATTCTAAGCATCTATTTGATGGAGTTTAATCTTAAAAGCATTAACCTAGCAATTTGAATTTATGCTGATGTATTTTAGTTGTCAAAAGGTCCATATAATTATGTGTCTGCTACACAATTTAAAATCCTTCCTTTGAGGTGCAAGAATTTACTTTGAGAATTGCCAATTCTACTTTTACTTCTTTAATTACCTATCAAAGTTGTCAGAAATTCTATAGATTTTTGAGATACAAATGTTTGAAATGTCCAATAAATTAATAGATGAATAATTGATTAATAGTGATAATTTATTTAAATTAAGTATACTTTTAAGAGTTTGAAATAACTAACAATTTTAGTTAATTTCATCACTTTGATACTTAAGATTTAATTATTGCTAAGTTAAAATGATAATTCTTAATTATTATTTTTTTCTCAAGCACTAACTAAAAAAAAATTATCAATGAATAGCTTCCAAAGTAGGAAAATTTTTACTTCAAAATTTGCTATTTTTATTCTCGATCTAAATAATTAATGATAAGTTTATTTTTTTATTTTAGGATTCATTTTATCATTAATGATAAATTTACTTTTTTTTTTAAGTAGAAAGAAGATACATAAATAAAAGAATCAAATTAGAAGTTAAACTTCTTTCTAAGTATAAATCTTTAAAAAAAATATTCAATTTATAATTTTTTCAAAATTAATATTGCTTATAAATTTGTTTATTTTATTTTAATTTGAATAATATTTCTAATTACAAAATTGTAAAATTATTATTGATATTTTCTATTTAAATAATTATATAGCTTCTAAATATTTACATTATTTTCAATATTTCTTTTTGGATGCTTATGTTATGATATCAATTAATAGGTTGGTCTCATACACCACATTTTTTCTTTCTTTTGTATCTAGATTTCATTCATAGATGATTACTTTAACAAATTTCTTTAATCTTTTATGTAAACTCAAAAAAATTGAATATATATCATTATTACTAATTTGGTACTATTTTTCATCAAAAAGCTCATTTAATATTTCTTTAGCATTAACAATTTCACCACTTTATTAGTAAGCTCTTTAATTATTATATTAAAATAAAAATGATATATAGAATAATAGTAATCCAATCCTTAAAAAAAAGAAAAAAAAAACATTGCTAAAAAAATACAAATAACATAATAATATTAAATAAGAAATAACCACCTTGTAGCATTTCTTCATATTTATCCTTTAAAACAGGTATAGCATAGTTTATAAATAGATATTTATCAATCTAATATACAATTAATAATGAAAGCATTGAAAATGGAATAATTAATTGATATTGTAATCCAAACATCATGCTTATAGAAATAATTTTACTCATAGCAATTTATTTTTTAATAGAAATTAAATTCTCTTAATTAAATTAACTAATTTGCTTCTCTCTAAGTTTTATTATTAGTTTTTTTTATTTTAAATCTATACAATTTAATTTTTTTCCAAAAATAGAGTTTATTGCTGGAACAATAAGATTCAAGTAACTCAATTTTATCAAATAATTAATCATACCTTCATTTTATAACAAGATTAAAGAAATTAATTTAATACATATTCCATTTTTCAAAATCCATACACTACAATTAAAAAATATAGAATATGATATTCTATATATTTATAAATAATTATAAGATGATAAATTATAATGCTAATCTATTAAAAATTTTGGTTCCTATTTGATAAAATATCACAAAAGTTATCATTGAGAGTAACATGAAGTAAACATTTAACAATTGTTTAATTATTTAATCTTTTTCTCCAATAAAATAAGTATTAATTAAATCATATCTTATTTTTAATATAATAAATTAGGCAATAAGTAAGGATTAACTGAAGATACTTGCAATAAATAGCTAGATAAAAAATTGAAAATATGGACTTCTTATTTAAAATTTATAATAACATATTTAGTTTTACTCCTTACAAAGTCGAATAAAATCGTTTTTAATTTAATTTTCTTTCTTTGTATGGAAATTTTAATTTTTCAAATACAACATCTTATTACAATTTTAAATTTACAAGATAAATTAGGTTACATATTAGGAAATTTTGCTCCAAATAATCAATAATTTCTTAATTTGTGATTCTCTAAGGAAAATAAATCCAATTAATTAACATCCAAAACGCCTTCAATGATATTACACCTTTGATTCATTATGTATTAAAAGATCCAAATTTAATTAGATGAGAAAAAATAACTGATGTCAAAAGAATAATGACTCCATAATTAATATCATCAAAACTCCCTTATCTGTTTAAAGATAATTCAAAAAAAGGAACGAAAACAATGCTATATAATTAGTAGTATCTTATTTAACAAAGAATAGTAAATTATAAAAGCATCCATTTGATTGTTTGAAAATACTCAGATGCTACAAAGTATTCATAATTTAGATCATCAAATAATTTATATTTAATATGACCATTACAAAAGTTACAGCAATTGCATTATATAGAATTTTGCTGAGGTTCCTTATAAACTCTATAGGCTAACTGCTTATTAATTATTTTGGAATACTCCATGCAATTTAGCTTTCTATAAATCAGCAGGAATCTTAAAGTAATTATAAACGATATCAGGCAAGATTTAAAAGAGATAAATCCGGTATCCATTTACAGTATATATTAAATTTAATTATAATTATTAATAAACTTTTTCATTTTATAGAAATAATTTTTTAAAATTAGAAAAGGAAAATTTATTTCAATCAAACTCTTTGTTAGATAAATTAACAAAAAATGAGGTGGATTAAAGATTTGATAGAAGTGATCAAAAACTTATATAAGTTCTTACCGATCTAGAAGATTAAAAAATTGAAAATGAATTAATTGATTAAATCAAAGAATAATTTACCTGGATTATTCATCATGAAAGTTAGGAAGATTTGATGGAAATTTTTTATTAATCAAATAAATTGTTATTATGAAAGGTTCTGATACTTGTAATGTTTAAAAACTTCATGGATAAAGAAAAATTGTAGTTAACATAAAAAAGAAATTATTATTTTGAATATCTAGAATTAAATAAATTTAAATGACAAACGCAATTAAATTTTAGAAAGAAATAATTCGTAAAAATTTTTAAATTGGATCTGAATAGTCTCAATTCCGAAATAAACTTAAAAATAAAAAATTTTCATTAATAAATTAAATAATTACTTTTTCTTTTAAAGAAATTTAGCAAATTTAACAAATTGCCTAGATGAATGAATAAAATTAGAAAATCTTATTTTTTTAGATGAATAATAACTATTAAAATAGTTGATGAATATTTTAATGATGAATAATTGTAATTATATTTAAATAAATAAAGGGATGAGGATTTTAAAAATACATTTATGTTTTCTAAAATTATTGATCTGCAATAATAAAGTAGTATTATTCTATTTATTCAGTGTAAACTCTTTTGCAAAATAATAGAAAAAACTCACAAATAGAAAATATTTTCACAGAGTCTATGGTGTTTTAATTTTGTAAAAAGAAAGATTTAGTTAAATATAAACATAGGTAAATAGAAGAAGGAAAGTTTAAATGTAAAATTGAAATTATTTCTAGAATTCAGTTATGTTGAATAACTAAAATTTTCAGAATTAACAAAAAATTAGTATCTTAGAATAGATAACAAAGGAAAAAGGATTTAAAATGATGATACTGCTGATATAAAGATATGTTTTATATTGCAAGCCACTAATTCTCATAACTTTTATGATATGATGATATCCATCATAAAGATGGGTGATATTAATTTTAATTTCATAGAGTTTTAGTTATTTTTTATAATGGAGAGTATTGTTGTGGTGATAAAAAGTAGAAATTATCATTTTAATTTGAAAATAATCATACTATAATGATTGAAGTGGATATGAAAAAAAATTAAAAAATGGGTCAATAAATCAACTAAATAAGTTTCATAGATATAAATTTAAAATTAATTTCTTTCTCTGAATTATATACATGCAGTAAATTCAATGATTGAATGAAAAGGATTCAACTGTAGAGATCATAAATGACAAATGTTGAATATTTAAAATCAATAAATTTATTATTTTCTCAACTTTAAATTACTATTTATTAGTAAATTTAAACATTAATGATGATAAACTAGGAAAAAAAATAAAAATTATCAATAATTTTAATGAATTTATGAAATATAAAAGTTAGAATAATCTAATTTTTATTTAATATATAAATCAAGCTAAATCTACAAAATTCTCTAACATCATTTAATTGTATTCAATATTCTATCACATTTTTATTTTGTTAAAATGATTATGAATATTTATTCATCATTTTGTTTATTAATTGAATAGTTTTTTATTGTAGTTTGGATAAAATATGATTTTAAATTTCTAAATTATTATTTTCAGTAAAACAAGCTAGAACACTAATTAATACTTTAAATAAAATTATTAATATTTATAAATAAGAAGCAAGATATTGGAGTTCAAAGAAATCATATTTCCATCTATAAAATAAAGAGCAATCAAGCAGTAATTTTTCATATTAAAATTTTTATAACCTATAGCTAAAGGATTTTCTTCAAAATTAAAAACTCTAAAGCTAAGCTTACTAATTTGTATTAAATAAGATTTCGTTTTACTTATTAGAAAACTGATTGATAATTATAACATAGAAGTAAATTTATGGTATATGAAATAATTAACTTTAATCATTTTATGTTTCTTTGTCGTCTCGAATGCGTTCTGTTTATAATAAATGAAAACTGTTCTAAAAAGTCTTGAATAATACGCAATCTGAACAACTAATAGTTAATACAAATTCTTTATTTGTTATTATTTAATATTTTTCTTATATTTCTATCTAATAATATATGCGAATGAGTCGTCAAAAGGTTAATTTAAATACCAAAGTTAGTAAATCTATAAAATAAGTAAATGATTGTAATATTCAAGTTTATAAAGTAATGGATAAGCAAATTAAGTTGGGCAAGAAAAATATAAAAGAAGAATAATAAAAATTCTATAATAAGATGTTAAATTTGGTGTAATCTCTTGTGAATTGTTTTATGTGGATGTATTATATAGAAATAAATTGATAAGATTTAAGGTCCATTGTTGATACTATCATCAATAAATTGAACACTTTTACTATAGGAACATAGTGTGCAATTTAGCTTTATTTTTTTATGGCATATGAGAGCCTATAGATAACATCTAAGTAACTAAATTTTTTATCAATAGATTTTCCAACTAAAATATTTAATAGTAAAATCTTTTTGATTAGTAATTTTTCCAAACTTATTTGTTTGGTTAAATAGAGCTTAAGTGATATAAGAATAAGAAACATAAATTCCAGAGTAATATTTGGTATAAGAGTTTCTGAAAAGAGTTGACATGTAAAGACCAAGATTTTTGTTTCTACTATATTTAAAAAATTTATTGCTTTATTTATCTTTTTTACATTTTTCAAATTAATAATTATAAAAAAAAAATTTTAATCTAGTTTATATAAAGATATCGTTGAGAATTGATTTATTTGTAACTTTAGACCAAAGTTATCAAAGGAAATAAATTTATATTTTTTTTATAAATTCTAACTGTTTATAGGATTTCTTTTTGTTTATCAGAATTTTATTCAAATATATAAATTCTTGGTAATTAATATTAATTAAAAAATGTTTTAAATTAGTTGTGGGACAAAGCACACAAATTGAAATTTAGATTGAAATGAGTGATATTTTTATAAGTAAATGGTAATTTACTTATAATTTAGTGAAAATTAGCTCATTTATATTGGAGAATATAAAAATGGCAAAAAATAAAAAAATAAAATATATAATGGTATGGAATAAATATTACCAATTTCTGTTAATGTAATAAAAAATAAATAATAATTTTATTAAATTTTAGAGGTGGAGGATTTTATTCTGAAAATAATTTAAAAATTAGAAATTAGAGTGAGGAAAATTATGAAAAGTATAGACATACTGATATTTTAGCGGAAATTTATGAATATAGAGTTGGGAAATGTTTTGAGATATCATATAGTCTTTGGAGAGAATATTTCGACATCTCATTTCAATAAAAGCAACTCAAACATATTTAACTTTTTTATAGTGGTGGAGGAGTTTTCGGCTAGTAATATTATAAAATGGAAATTGGATTGAAATTAGTGATATTTTCAAAAATTATTTAAGTCTACATTATTTAAGTGAGAATTAAGTCATCTATATCGTTTTATATTTAATATCAAAATGACAGAAAGGTGGGTAGATTGGATGAGAAGAGATTTTGAAAAAATAAATGATGGATTCGTTAAAATGTACTCATAAATTTATAAGATCATTAATAATTTTAGCTGAGAAAATTTTTTTTATTCTAACCATAGGGATTGAGATAATACTAAAAATATAAATTCACAATAAATTTAATTTAAAAATTTAGGTATACTTTCAAAGGTATATATTTTAAAAATAAGTAGCTTATTTAATTCTTTTCTCATAATATTTAATTATGGAAAGATGTGAATTTTAATTAGAATTTTCTCTTGTTTTTGTATAATAATATAAAAAAAGTAAAATATTCTAATAAAATTGATTAATTTTTTTTCAATCATTAATTTTATATGAAAAAGTATTGCTTTTTTAGATATTAAAATCAATATAGAATTTATCAAAAAGAGAATGCGCTGACTTTTAAAATATACTATAAATTGTATATAATCAAATATTTTTAAATTGATGATATCTTGTTAAAGTTAAAACAGGTCAAAAAATGATTTCATCAGTATTAAGTAATATAATTAAAATTGGATGTATTTAAATTTTGGATAGCAACTGCTTTCTTTTCCTTCATATACACAAGAGTTGAGAAGAAGAAGGAAAAACTTTTATACTCTTACAAAAAGATGTAGAAATATGTATAATTTATTGATAATACTGTTTAATAGACTCAAAAAAAAATATTAAAATTCATAAGTTATTAAGAAGGAATATAAACATAATATAAATTGTAAGTTCAATGGAACTGGCTTACTATCCATTACATTTAACACAACTTTTACCATCCCAATGATAAAATAGTTGAGATTGAGTGTAGCATGTTTCTTCGTTTTCTTTAGAAGGATCAAAATTTACGCAACTACCATCCTCTAATTCCTTACAAATTATGTATTGATTTCCATTAATTTTTAATTTTCTTGCTTTACATGTTGGATTGGGTGAATTTTCACATTTATCATCTGTTATGCAAGCAATAGAAGGATTCATTAAGCAAGCAGGATAAGTTTTATAGCATGGATAATCTAATTTTACATCTTCACATACTGTCATTTCTTAACATTTATTATCATTAACATTACAAAGACCTTCTCTACCAATAAAACATTAATCGATAGGACGTTCAGCACAAGTTGGAATAGTTTCATCAGGTATTGAGTCATATAAACTTAAACATCTTTTTAAATATGAATCATAAATGCATTCATAATTGAAAACACTTTTACACTCTTCTTCAGTTTAATCATTACAGCTTTATATTTTTTAGCATTTCTCACCTTTAACTTAGCAATCTATATATCTGCAAAGGAATATATCATGAATGTCTTCGCATTTCCTACTTTTGCACTTTCCTTTTTCAAAATCGCATCTTCCCTACATAATACTTGTTTCAGATAAACATTCTTTTTCATTTAATTCTTCACATGCACAAACACCTTTACGATATGTGACTACTTCTTAATTCATAACTTTAGTTATAGAGATATAAAATCCAATCATTTGAAGACACTATTTCATTTTAATTTATGAAAATTAATCATTTCTATCTTTAAACAAGCTTTTAAAGAAAAATTCATTCTATATTTTTTTCATTTATGTTTATTTTATTTCTATATTGATTTCAATTTATGCTTTTATATGTTTTATTTGATAATTTTTTCTGTTTAGAATATCTTAAAAATAATAAATCTCATTTTAATGTCAGAGAATTTAAATAATGAAGTTAAATTAGTCAATTAAAAAAATTTATCTTTAATTATTATGCAATATTGTTCAAATAGTTGACATATCCAATTAATAATCAATATACTAGATTTTATGTACTATTTTAGTAATTCTGCATTTATGTAGAAATTTTTTAAATAAAAATGAAAATAAACTAATTCACAACCATTAGAAACTTCATGTTCTGATGTGCTATCACTAAATCCAAAAATATCAAACATGTTCAATTAAACCCTATTAAAAATATACTTAGTATTTAAAAATTTACTCTTTTTAGTAATTGCTATTGATTGTGAATGGCAATCATAAATATGTCTTTGCAAAGCCATAGAATTAAAATAACATATCATGAATCAACTTCCAAAGATTTTTATAACAATAATATCAATAAAAGGTCAGTAGATAGAAATCATCCTTTAAATCTAATAATTTTATGTAATTTTTCTGAATGGTGTTCATAAATCTCAGATTAATAGTTATATAAACAGAATTATTGTGTATGCTATAATGTTACCAAGCAAACATATTCTAATATGATCTTTGATCACATCTAAATAGTCTTGTTTAGTTTGCAATAACTTAAAATTTAATTTCATATTCCCTACATAATCTTGGATCTTTTAGCAAGATAAACCTGCTTATTATCGGTTTTTGATTTTCCATTAAGAATAGTAAGTTACCCTTAAAGGATTATTGGCTTCTATTAGCCATTATAATCCTTTTTGTAGATACTATAAATAAATCTTTAAATTGAAATCATGTTGACGAACTAAAAAATTGTCAGCAAACTATCTCTGATCATTATTAATAATGTAATCAAGAAAAGCACTTTCTAAATATTTTAATTTTGATCGATTATAGAATAGCAGAATAAGAATATTAACATTAATCTACAAATCATATTTTTGTCTCTTATTCAAAAAGCAAATCATTTCCAAAGATGCTGAATGTCTTCAAATTCAAAGCGATGTTATTATCAGATACTTCAAAGTAAGGTTTTCAAAATCTAAAATTTTTTTAATGATTTAAGAAGAGCAAAGGAGTTTTTATTTAGTGGGGCAAATCTAAATCTAAAACTTTATCACGCTTAAATATAAATTACTCTTAATTCAAGTGGCTATTAAATTATAGTTACTGAATTAACTCATATTTCATAATAAAAAGTTCTCTTAACTGCCAAGAAAATCGATGATGTTTTTGAAATAGCAATTGTATTAAGTTTTAATTGCACAATTATAGATGGTTCTTCTTTATCAAATCTTAATTTAAAATATATTCTATTCTATGTATAAAGATTATAAAATTCGATTAATATATTTTTACTATTTTTTCCTCTAAAAAAACCTAAATAAAATAAAATTATACAATAAGTAGTTTTTAATCAAATGATTCTCCAAATTAAGATTTACTTAAATTTAATTATTTTGAAAAAATAATCATAAGAATAACTTGTTTTTGTTTGAGTAAAAAGAGGGGAAAAAAGAATTTTTTATATTTGATAATTCTCGCATAAATTGCATTAAGCATACCAAAAGATATCAAGAGAACAGAATCCAGAAAAATATTTTGAAATCTTATATCCATACAAAACATAAGAGAGACCAAACTCTTATTGATTTACCCTAAAAGATTTCTCCATAAATATCAAACTACATTGAACCCTTATTATCATATCTAAACACTAAATAGATTGTCATATTTCAACAAATGATATTTTTAATGATCTGCTAAATGATTTAAAAATTTTAATTTTGATATACTTAAAATCTCAATATTGATAGATTTTAATAAAGATTTAAATATTTTTTAATTGAAAAAAGTTATTAATATAGTTTTCTAGGCAATCATTTAAAAAAATTATGTTTTTGAATAAGAATCTTAAAAAAACTCTAATAATAACTGAATAAGTGATTTATTTTCTAATTTATTTAAAAATTCATTGTTCCCGAATATTTTCAAATCTAATATTCAAATGGCTTGACATCCTAAGTAATTAATACTACCCATCATCAGTCATACATCCAAAATTCTCTCCAGTTCCAAACTCAATAGATTACTCTAGTATAACATCTCCATTTTGTTTTTTCCTCATTAAATTCACATATGAAGCATAGGATACATTTTGATTTTATATATTATTAAGCAAACAACCAGTTATTTGTACCTTTTTTTTTACTTGGAATATCCTTGATCTTTGTAGACTATTTATTAGTACTATTCATCGCAAAAACATTCATATACTATTTACCATTAGGATAGAATATGAATGTGTTATCATCAATAATGCATAATCGATTTCCGTGTTGTTCTATTATAATCTTTTATATTACTACCCATTATTTACTCAATTATGATTGTTCTATTACTAAAATAAGTTTATCATATCCACAAGTTATCAATTTATTTTATTATTCATTAAAACTTAATCCTCTTACATCTCAAAGATAATCAGTTATTGTCTAAGAGCACAATCATTAATTTTCCTTCTACCAAAATTTAATTGTCTAATCATAACTTCCAGATAGAATTAGATCTTCATTATTATTCAATAGTAAAAAATAGATTTCAGATATATGCCATTCAATTTCTCTTAGGAAATCCATTTATTATTTTGATTACTTATCCATATTATAATTGATTTATCTTCACTTCCAGATTTAAAATGATCCTATCTCTTTACACTTAAAATTTTCACATATTTGAACATTCCTTACTTAAATTCAAGCATTTTAATCTTACTATTACATCCAGCACCATTATTGAACAATCTTTATAACTGTGGTAGCATAACAAAATTCCTTTTATTTAATTGAATTTTCCTTGATTAATTAATAAGTTTTTATTGATAACCTAATTAAATAGCCTATGATGATAAATTATTGATTAAAGTATTCACTTATTGTATTTATTAATTTTTCTGTTTATTAAGATTTACTATTTTTATTCAATCTGAGAAATTGCAAATAATAGTTGGTACAAAAGAAGCCCAAGTAGACACTCGTACGGTATTTAAATAATTTGATTTAGTCACCAATTTTTTCATAAAAATTTTCTATTTAATTAATAGTAATTGTGACGAAATGATTTTAAAAATATGAAACAGTTTTGAACATATAATCTAACATAAAATAATATGTAACTATTTTCAAATTTTTCTAAAATATTCATTATATTTGATATAATACATTCATATTATTAGTTTTCATTTTCAAAAACAATCCATAAAAATATCTCTTGTTTCTCCATATGTAGAGTATATTTTAAACTCATTACTTTATTCTAATTTTTTGATTTTAATTGAGATTAGCCTAGTGTCTAAAAAATTAGAGGAATACAAGAACTTTAATAAAGTTCAAACCTTTTTTAATACTAAAAACATTAAGGGAAATATTGAAATTAAATGATTTAGAAAAAAAGAATGAACCAAAAAAAATAGCTTTTCTTTTATTTTGCTTAATTAAAGTTGATGATATATATTTAATTAAAGAATGAGAAAAATTACTCATAATCTTTCCTTGATTTTTTGAAAAACCATAGCAGTTAATGCTGATAATTCAATTATTTTTAAATGAAAACAATTAATTAATTAAAATATATTTGGTGAAATTTAGAAATAACCTTATAAATGTTTATAAGATGATGAATCAATTTTAAATATAAGGATATCAAAACTAATCATGATTCAGTATGAATATATAGAAATAATATTAGTCACAATCTTGCCATTAGACATCTATGATTTTGTGGAGATGATTCACATTTAATATATCGACATTCTGATCAAATTGGCCATTTTCTATTGATCAAAAACAGTCTCATCTTTTTCTTATCATAGTACCTAAATATATTAATTTATTCAGAAGTGTTATACACAAACCAACACTTGTTATTCTTCATCAGTGATATTGCTCTTAGTTTTATTTTTATAAATTTAATGATTTATAGTATCAATAATTAGTTCACTTAGTATTATATTAATCTAGATATTTTTTTAAAAATGATGTAATTCCTAAGTTTTATATACCTTAATCATATCTAGAAATAATGAAATTCTTTCTACTACTTTTAATTAAATAAAGAAATAATAAGATAAATCATTGTTAATTAAATCTAAATAATTAATTTGAACCAAAAAAAGAATTTATAACATCTACATTTTGAAATGCTTAGATCAATAAATCATATTGTTTGATCAATAATCTAATTAATTTCATTTTATTTTATATTTTTTAGAAAAGTTGATTTGGGATATTTTGGTTGATTATTAATTTAGGAGATTTTTATAGGTGTGAAACATATTTTGGACAATAATGGTAAAATCGATTACTTGAATTTTTTTAGAACTTTACATAATTTGTATAAAATCATAAGAAAAATAACTAAAATTAAAATTAAAATTTTAAAAGGGTCTTAAATTTAGTTGGAATGTTTATATATAGAGATTTATTTGTTTTTATAAATAATTTTTTAAATTTAAGTATTAATGATAATTTTTAAGCAATTCAAGAAAGTTATATTATGTATTCTATCTTAAATGGAATTTTAATTGTCCTATTTTAGTTATTTTTTTCAAAAATGATATGAAAGATTTTCATTCAAAATGGTATTTATATTTCATGTATTATTCATGAGCGTAAAGCTCTAAAGATAGAAGAATCTTCTCTATATTAAAAAAGCTAAGAAATTTAGATGTGGAAAGAATTTTCAATTAAGACATATGAGATGGCTTACTTATATTTTCCTTTATAATTAAAAGAGAATTATTAAAAGAATCAAAGTTATTTATTAAGCTCTAAAATTTGTTCTTTTTTGAAGAGTGGGTCTTCTAAAAAAAAAAAAACTTAACTAAAAATTTGATTTAATAAAAATGGCTTCAATCATGTGGTAAGTTTAGTTAAAATGAAAAAAGCTAAATTAATTTTAGTTTAAATTGCTAATGATATCAGTACTATAGAATTAGTTATTGAATAATGATGTTTAGATTAAAAAATAAACAATTAATATAACTAAACAAAATCCAAATTAAAAAAAGAAAAATAAGAAGCTTTATGGTAATTCAAATAGGTGTAATCTTGAAAAAACAATTATTTTTAATAGAATAATGAAAATGCTTAAATAATTAAAAGTGAAGATAATATTAATAATTAATTGATCTTAAATAAATGAAGATTTAAGGATTTAGAAGAAAAGAAATCAATATTAAATGATTTATAAAGAAAGGACATAAATTATATGATTTACAAAGAGAATTAAATCAAGAAAAAATCTATGAAATTCGAAAAAGGTATAATTAAAATTGAAAATGAACAATAAAAAAATTATAATATAAAATTATCTTGTTTTAATAACTATTTTTTTGGAGAAACCATTAAGATATGGATTCTTATTCTATAAGTAAGGAGTTATACTATAATAATGGAATGAAGATCTATTTATACAGCAATAATGAAATGAAGAAGATACATTTTTGATTTGAAATATACTTTAATAAAAAAGAACTTGATACTAATGAAAGACACATTTCACTATTAGATTGAAGATAGGTTTAAAGATGTAGTTACTAAATTAACTACTGAAATAGGATGAAATTATATATAAAATATATTTAAAAATATTATCTTATTATTTTAATTTTTATTAATTCAGCTATTAAATACTTAATTAATCTTTTTTTGGCATTCATCTTGATTAATCGATATATCGTACCAATTTTAATTTTAATTGATTATTTTTAAGGCTCTATTTAAAGAGCTTTTTAATAAAGTTTCAAAGCTTCTTAATAATTCTGTTAATCTTGTAGACATTAGCATAAGAAATATTAAAAATTTTATACCTTTATTCATTAGTGAAAAATAATGATACTCATCAATTTATAGGACTTCATCAAAACACTTTAAAGAATCCTTAAATAGTTGAATTTATCGTAGGCATTCCCCTTAACTTATTGAATTAAATTACCTTTTTCTGATAAAGATAAAATGTGTTTAGAATTAATTTTAAGGACTTTATCGAATATTTTAATAGCACTTCTATATTTTCCTTGTAATCTTAAGCATTATCCTAATAATATATTATAAAGAAGATGCCTTAATCTGATAATGATACAATTTATTGATCATCTATTTTTAAAGCTTTCTAATGCCATTTAATTGCTTCTTCATAATTGCCTAGTAACCTTAAACATTATCCTAAATTAAATTAAAAGTTTGTAGAACCTTTTTCAGATAATGAGATGACATGATTACCATCTATATCTAAAGCTTTATTTATCCAAATTATTGCTTCATTAAAATCCTCAAGATGTCTTAAGCACTAAGCTAATAAATTAATAATTATTTATAACCTTTTTCAGAGAGGGAAATTAAATGGTTTGGTTATATTTGTAATGCTTTATCTAAATATTCCAGCGCTTCTGCATATTTTCTAAGCTCCTTTAAACATTATCCTAAATATTGCATTAATTATAACCTTTAGTATATAAAGAGTTCAAATGTTTAGAATTGATTAATAAAGCCTTATCAATTTAAATAAGTGCATCATTTACTTTTCCAAGTAATCGTAAACATTACCCTAATATTTATTAAATACTAAATACCTTTTTCTGAATATGATTCAGCGTTTTGAGAATCCATTTATATGGCCTTATCAATAACTTTGATTGCCTCATTATATTCATTTTATAGTCTTAAACATTTACCTTAATTATTCGAAATATACCTTTTAAAATAAATAAATCTAAATTCTATAATTTTTTTTATTGAAATGCTTTATTTATCCAATGCAGGGCTTCTTTATATAAGTTTATTTCCATTAAGCATTTACCTACAGATAATGATATCTCCTAATACCCATATTTATTATTGTCTAATTATGTTTTGAATCAATATTGATAGCTTCTTTTAGATATTGTAAAGCCTCTTTATTTTAACTAAGTAAATGAAGACATTCGCCTTTTTATAATTTTGATTTACCTTTTACGCATAATGAATTCACATTCATAGGATCAATCAATAAAGCCTAATCCAGACATATTATTGCTTCTTAATACTATTTAAGTTCTTTTAAGCAATATCCTTATTAATTGTTTATATAAATACCTTTTTCCAATAAAGATGGTACATCCTTAGAATCTAATAATAAAGCTTAATCTAGCCAAAAAATTGCTTCCTCAAACTTTCCTAGTAAACGTAAGCATTAACCTGAATAATTATTTTTAAAGAACCTTTTGAAGAGATTGATAACACTTATTCAGGGTCAAGTTTCAATGCTTAATTAAAGCAATCTAAAGCATCTATTTATTAATTTTCTAATCTTAAACATTCCCCTTATTTTTTATACAAAGATAGATACCTTTATTACACCAAGAATTAACATGATATTAATCAACTTATAATGCTTAATCAAAAAAATTAATAGCTTAAATATATTATCCTTACATTTTTAGACATTGACCTAAATCAATATTAATTGTTACCTTTATCAGATAAAGAATTCACATGATTAGGGTTTATAGATAATGCTTTTTCAAATAAAAGTAAAGCATCTTTATAATTACCTTACATTTTTAGAGAAGCTCCTAACATTCCAATAATTTATACCTTTGCACCATAGAGACATATAATTCTATGGATTGAAACCTAATGATTTATCTAGAATTTTTATCGCCTAATTGTAGCAATTTTTTTCTAAATATAAATTATATCCTTATATTATGAAAAAAATAACCTTGCCGATAATATTTCATTGAGATTTCTTTATCCATATTATTTAATTCATAATAATTTAAAGTTTATAAATTTAATTCTTAATAAAATTGCATAAATTATTCATTTAGATTATGAAATATTTAGTTAAAATTTAAGTTCATGGTATTTTTAAAGTCTTAAAATTCAAAATTTGTTGTGATGAATTGATTAATTTATTCACTTTGCAATTAAAAAAGTTTATCTTTTGTTAAATAAAATTTCTCCCTTATTCCTTTCAATAATAATGAAAAGAATTTCTAAATAGATTTAAAATCTTTTTGAAGTAAATTTAAAAAGTTTTCGATGTTAAAATTGTTGTTTTCTATTCTATTTTCTAATTCAGAGATCTTTATCAGATCCTATCGATGAAATGCATGTTCTGAATTTTTCATGCAATTAAAACAGTTTAATCTGTGTCCTTTACACCATTAATGAAAGCAAATAAATTCAACTTTATCGTTCTTGCAAATACAATCTATTTAGATTGTTTCATTGATAATCATTTTATAAATATTTATATTATATTTATAATTATCAAATGAATCTTGAAGAACAATGAAATCTCTCCTTAAAGAGATAGAAGATAAGTTAATTCACAAAGTCTAATAGTTTAGTTTTTCATTTTATGTTACTTTACATTATTTATTCATAGAAATATAAAAATCAATAATATATTATTTGAGCATCTTTGTAAAGTTTTATTGATTTAATATATTTTGCTTTGAAATTAAGGTAAAAATTTCTTTTATTACATAATAAAATTGCATAAGAATGAATATTTTTAGATTATTTTAATATGTTTTTGTGAATAGATTAAGTATGAAATGAATAATTATATCTAAATTAGTAAATAAAGTATTTACAATAACAAAAAAAAACTACTTACAAAAATTTTAATTTACATTGTCAATATAAAGAATTAGACATACAATAACATTAATAGAATTTTTAAAATTATTTATTCTATTTCTTTTTTTTTATTACTTTTAAAAGGTATCGCCATTCTTTATAAAATTTTGGATTATCTTTATGATATTAGATCATTTTTATTAAATAAATATTTTGATTCTGAAATTATATAAGAATATAAGTAGTAACATAAAAACATTTTATTTGTTAAGTCGCTTAATAATTCAGAAGTGGGATCAATCATAATGATATTTTTATTCATAAATTTTAATATATTAAAGACTTATAATAAAAAATTAGACTTTTTACAAAAACTAATTGATTTAAAATAATTTTCAAAAATTTGGTAAAATAAATAATTTAAATGAAAAAATGATCTTGTTAAATAAGCTAAAATACATCCTATTAATACTTGTTATGATTATTTATTATCATTTAATTAAAAAAATTTACTAAAAGGCTTGAAAGTTAAATAATTATTTAACATGAAATTAAAGTATATTTGAATTCATGGAATTTATAAATTTCAGCAAAATTAGGCTTAATACCTAAATTAGTGGTAAATAAATTAAATATAAATAAATGTAAAAGAACAATCATTTAGATGAGTTAAAATTCCATAAAGAATTAACAATATAAGGTAAATAGATTTTTTACAATGAATAGCAAGTAGTTTCGTTATAAAATACTTGGTTAATTCTTTCATTAAGGAATTAAGTAGAAATTTTCATTTAAAAGATGGAAAAATTCTTAAAAGGTTAATGGTGATTAATGATTATAGGACAGAAATCAGAATTATGATGAAAATAAAGAGGAAAAAATAGGAATCTAACAGAATTACATGAAGATTTTGATTAGTAACAAATATTTAACTTTATATAGATGCTCTTAAAGTATTATTGAAGGAGCTTATAGATTTGGAAAGAAATTTGGTAATTGGACAATTAAGTAATTGTACTTATGTAAATAATAATAAAAAAATAATAAGTGGAGATGGTAATTATGTTGAGGAAAGTGGTTTGAAAAATGGAAGAGCCAGTTATGATCAAGAACTTCATGATAATTTTTGGATGAAATATTATAATTAATAACTACTAGGGGATCTTAAATTAAATATATAGGATAATACTAGAAGGGGAAATAATGTGGATCATGGGACACTTTATCTGGAGGACATTCTTAATCTATAAAAAATGTTAAATTTATATTAATAGTGGAGGAGGAAAATATGATCAAATTACAGGATTAAAAACTGGAAAATGGATTAAAATATATGATCATTTTATAGGTTGATATTAAATTCTCAAAAATTAGAAAAATCTCAATCGTATTAGTAGCAATTATCATAATGGTGTTAGATAAGGACCACTCCAGCAATAAGAGCTCTAAAATATTTGAGATCATAAATAAAATTTAATTTTCGATACAATTTATGATAAAATCTTTTCGTATCGCATTAGGTGATTTAGATAATTTCGTGTTCTAAAAAATTCAAATTTATATTTAATTATTAATAATATCCAAGTTTTAATTGTTTTACATAAATGAGTATCTTCTTTATAAAATGGTTTATAAGTCATTTTATAATTCTATTATCAAATATTAGTATACTTGTAGATGCTATTATGAGATAAATTGTGAATTATGATAAAATTTATATTAATAATTCGAAAATAGAATAAGACTTATTATGTTATCCAAAAATATCAGAAATTTTCCATCCTTAGTTATGACTCCATAAGTTGCAATTGATGATAAATCAATTTCACTTAAAATAACAAAATGCCCATGCCATTCATATACAAAATAAAAATAAAATCTATTTTTTAAAGCCAAAATTTTGAGTTTCTCAATCTAGACTATAGGAAAGTAGAATTACTTAATACATTTAGGACTATGTTTTAGCTGAACTTTAATTCTGTCTTTTCTCTAAAAATTCCAGCTGAAACCTTAAAACATGCATTATTTCATTGCTTCTTGAAACCCATATCAATTGATTGTCATTAATTAACATAATCGACACCTTGATTCAATTACAGATTATTTATAGATCAAGATAGTATAATCTTATAAGTACTTAATTAATTAATAAAATTTTGATCTCTTCAACTATAATCACATACTTGAATTCATATTTATTTTATTAAGATAATTCCAAAATAATAATTTGATTATCCAATCCGCAAGAAGCTAAAATTTTCTCATTAGGACTTAAAGTTATTCCAATTACTTTTTTTGTGTGTCTATTCAAAGGATATTGATGCATCAATAAATTTTAATGAAAGTTTATCTCCATACTTTAATTGTTTAATCATCACTCCCTGTAATAAGAAAACTCTCAGATTAATTCATAATACAACAATTGATGCTGCCTAAATGTTCTTAAAATGCTTAAGAGCTAATCCATTATAAATTATTATTTTCTCTCCATAATCTAAGTTAGAAATCTTGAGAGGCTGAAATTAGGTTTCTATTGTTTTAACTAAAAAGTAGGCATGTAATCAAATCTTCATGTCCATTTAACTATGCGAACTCATCAATCTACCCAAATTTAAAATTCCATAACTTAATTTTCTTTCCACATCCTGAAGCCATAATTTATTAATTATGATCTAAAGCTATTGCTAAACAAGTTTCTTGTTTTGGTTTAAATTTTTTTTTAATTTTAAACGAACTTTATTCAACAAATCAATTTAACCATCAGATGAAATCATATAAGAGTAATATTTATTAATTAAGATTATTTGATTTTTAACGTAATAAATAGCTCCAAATTATGATTAATAAAACTCTTATTCATTAATTAAGAAAGAGATGGCTAAATTTCATTTTTAAACACTTGCTATGAATAGTCTTTTCATTTTTCATATTTTAATTAATTAAATTTAAAGTTTAGTCTAATTGATTATATTTAAAACATGTACTAAAGTTTATGAATTTAGATATTAGAGAAGACTGAAAAATTTAGATAGTATCCATGTTAAAAAGCACTTTTTATCTAAGTATCAGCTTTTACTTTTTATTCTTTCAATTTAACTATTTTATATAATGATAACTGAATAATGAATACTTTTTATATATTAAATTTTCAATAATATAATGTCTTGCTTTTACACTATTTAACTTTTATTTAATCATTGGATTTTTTGTGATTTTCAACTTTAAAAGGCTGCGATTGTTTGTCAACAATCTAATAAACGCATTCATCTTCTTCATTTTCATTCTCTTATATAGTAGACATTCTTGCTTGTGATAAATCCATAGAATTATAATTGATAGTAGAATCTGATGGATTTTCTGAGTGTTGTTATACTTAAGGATCAAAAACTT